TTTCATTCTTACATATTAAGAAATAGATAGCGAAAATACTAACTTGAAACAAAAATTAAATACATATAATATGATATTAAAATTTGAACTTAAACTTGATACAAGTAATATCTATAGCCAAGTGTCTATTATGTGGTATTAGATATATTGCCAATAAGTGCTTAGTAATTAACCATTCACCAAATATTATATATATATACACATATATATATATATGTATAGTAACTAATCATTTAGCATGCAAAAATATCACTTATTATTAAGCAAAGGCTACTTTTTATTAACTAACAAGTATAGACTTTTTGTTAATTCTTAAACACATAAATTTGTTTTCATTATGAATTAAAGAAGTTGCGTTTTACATGTATTATGGTTAGAAGGTTGTATTATATATATTTTGAAATTGTGTTGTAATTTCTATATAAATATTATTTAATTGTTAAAATATAATAGTCCGAAACTTAAAAAAAAATAAATTATAAATTGAATACAGAAGCGAAATAATAAAGTTAGGGTTTACATTATTTATACAATAATTTAGAATACCTAATAGGGCTACGAGAATGACCATTTTAAAAGAATAAACGAAAAATCAAAGAAATAAATGGAAAGTAAACAATTAGGCATCATATTCACAACCCTCTTATGAATCAAGATCTGAATCTTTATTCTCTTGATCTGAAATGGTTAATGAAAAGGTGAGTTGCACTAACTCAGTAAGAATATCACACTACTCTCTGATATAGAAATGAATGTTGGTAAAAATCATAAAAACAACTAATGAAACTCTTAATTTAAGTAAATTTATTTATCGTAAATAAAATCATTTACTGCATACTTACCGTAGCGAGATTTTTAAAACTGACATATAGGGATAATAGCTCAACAATATCATAATATCATATTCAAGTAATTAAAAATAATAATTATTCCCTCTTATCTGCCTACTGGGATTCATGATGGTACATATGGATATTTCCACTACATGTGAACTCTTATTTAATATTGTTAACTAACTAGCCGTCCTCATATCTCGTCCGGTACGAACGCCAAAAATATTATATCTCAATACTCCGTCCGGTATGAGGGTGAAGCGGGCCGTCCTCATACCCCATTCGGTATGAGTGCCAAAATACCAATATTCGATACTTTGTTCGGTATAAGACAACGTTCACGATAGAGTTTCCTATATATCTGGCCCGTTCACCATATCACAGGATATCCAGTAAGGTTACCATTCATTCATTCACTTAATCAAGTAATTATCCGTTTACATTTAACTTCCAGTTTTGTAATATAACTGTAAATCACGTAAAATAAGCAATACATGTATCAAGGAAATACAACTGAATCATATTACAAACTCCAGCACATTATTATGCATTTAAAATTGTAAAATCAATAAATTAATTAAAACATGATAAACAGTAATAAATAACCAGTTCTGTCTCCATTAGTAACCTGCAATTAATTATCAAGGTTTTTTAAATTACATAAAATACTTTTTTATTTATAATTAAACTTCAATTTCATAACAGGGAATAATGTGAGGGATTCTTACCCAAACTAGTGTCCGAAATACTAAACTTTAAGCTGCGCCTACTGGCGGTCCTCGGGTTCCCTGAATTTTATTTCGAAGATTAAAATACGTTTTAAATACCTTGAAATATCCTAAAAATTTAAAAAGTTTAAAATCTTTTTTGGCCAATTTCGGAACTCCGGCATGGAGGCATCGCCATCCGCGACAGTAGTTTACCTCGAATTGGTCGTTTTCGGCCAGTTTTGATCGATTTTGGCCAGTTTTATACTCATCCCTGCGAAAAAACATGTTAAGAGGCATCAGTTGGTTCAAAAATTCAAAAACAAAAACTTACAAGTGGCGAAGTTTTTCGGTGCAGCGGCTCTGTCGGCTCACCTTCGCGGTTGGATGTTTTTCTTTGGTTAACTTGTGGGAAATAGAATGATGAATACAATGGTGAAAAAATTGTACGAAACGAAAATCGGGAAGGGTCTCATAAGAGGTGACTTTTGATTTTTCACGCGGCGGCGCCGTCGGGTTTTACCCGCGATTTTCGGCTCATCCACTAGTTCTTTTTCTCCAATTTGACCATGGAAGTGATTAAAATCAAATTTCGAGCGAATAAATTTTTTTTTTTACCTTATTTGGCGGCCGGAGGTGGTTCGGTGAGGCGGGGGGCGGCGGTTGGCTCTCTTATCTGGCGACTGGTTTTTTTTCTCGGGGGGGGGGGGGGGGAAGAGGGCTTGCGACTATGATTAGGGTTTGGTGTGAAGTGAGATATTTATACACGCCTCCCTTTAATCTTGGTCGTTTATCGCGTTTGATTTCGACCATCCGATCGCGTTTAAAGAGAAAACAAATATGCACTGTTCATCGCGATTTAATCTGAATCATACGATCGCGTTTAAAGAATAAATGAATCTGCACCGTTCATCACATTTATTTGCAACCGTCTGATCGCACCTGAAGAGGGAACTGATCCGTACTATCAACGCGCGTGGGAACAAATCTGGACCGTCCGGTTACAGGCACGTGAATTGCCAGCGTAACCTCCCACGTGGCACCGAGTCTCCGTGTCTTGCTACGCGGTGCGGTCTGTTTTATTAG